ACCCCAGACCATAAGGTTTGACCTCTCGGAACCAGTGTTAATTAGCAATACATATTTATATTTCCCTAAAATGTAGTCCACTTTGTTGATCTTCATTGCATTCTTTTATTTATAGATTTTGGCAATGTAGTTTTTTTATTGTTGACCTGTTGTATATGAATAACTTTCCTTTTGACTTGAGATCAATTAAAAACGTTAGTGTTTTATTTTTATAATTTTGATTTTTATTTCCCGATATTTCGTCTGTCTTCACAAGTCATCTTCGGAAAAAAAAATTACAAAAATATAAAACATTTAACAGAAAGGATAACAATAATAATATACAATTTACTTTTATTGAGAAAAGCAACAGTCTTGTTTTACCGTCTATGCTAAACTAAATTTTTGTCTGTCATGCTTTTGACCTATGCTTCAATAAATATGTGCCCAGTGTTCAGTATCAGTCTTATAATTGATTCTAACATCGGTTGGTATGTTTACAATATTTAACATTTCTAGGGTAAAACACCTTTCATAATTATTTTCTTGTGTCTGTATTTCAACGTCTTTGAAATTTGGTTTATGGCCTGTCATCGTGCAATGCGCCGTCTTTTATTCTAGTGGTTTGCTTGTTTTTTGATCTGACTTATGTGCAGATAGTTTATGTTTGCTTTAGTTGTAACCATGCATATTTTATTTTATGTACTACATTCCCCTTATCTTCTTTTTTATTTTCGCTAAATAAATAGTTGACTTTATTTTAGATTTAAAGGCTAATTAATAATTTTCCTTATCATAAATATTAAAGTTGCAGAATTGCTCCGAAAGTTCAGGTATGTTTGTATAACTTTTTTATTGCATCCCTCTTTTTTATTTTATTATTGTTTTTGCTCCTCGTATTTGATCGTCAATAGTGTTTTTTCGGGAAGTCATTGTTTTGAAGGACATTACGTATTCGCTCTTCCTTTTTTTATAAAATTTACGACTGTATTTTTATTCGTCATGGGTATTTTGAGTAATAATTAATAAGTCGTCCGGAAGCTGTCGGATTTTGACCACAATCAAAAATAAGTTCATTGCCCTTTCTGATATAAGGGCGTCTAAGTAGGCTAGCTTTCCTTGTTCTTCGGTTTCGTGGGTAAACTGACATGTCTATCAAAGGATTTTAAAACATTTAAAGTACTGCCAAACTCCGTTTTCTTTACAATACAAAATAGGTCGTCAACACAACAATTTCTCCATTGTAGCTTTCAATAGCTCCTCCATTACGATGAACGCAATCCCATAGGAAGTCCCTTTTTCTGTTCATACATTTTGTCATTATACATAAAATATCTTTACTCCTTAAGAAATAGAGTCAGTATTTCAATGAAGAGGTCCTTCGGAATTTGTGTATGTGTTTAATTGTTTGTATCTTTGTAGTTTTTTCCCTGAAGATGACTGTCGAAATATCGGAAAATAAAAATTAAAATTATAAAAATGAAAGACTGGTGTTTTTAATTTACCAAAATAAAGTTATTAAAAAGATTTTGGCAATGCTAGCTTAGAATTCTTCTTTCTGTCACATTGCTTGTTGTTACATCGATTGCCATCACATATATTCACTTATCGATGCTGAATGTTCTGCCCTATGCTTTTAAAATTGTGTCCTTTGGTTTTTTCATCGAACGGGTAGGTTTCAGGGGGTAGATGTGGGAGATCGAGTACACATCGAGTACCAGCTACAGAATCTAATTCATCATGTATTTTAATTGTTTAAAAATAAAATTATTCTAGATTTAATAACTTCTAAACTCATACCAAAATCTACATTATAGTATACAGAATTAAAGTCAACACACATTAATTCTAATAGATGAGTTTAGGAAATCTGAAGGTATATTACCATTTGATATTTTTGGTACAAACATGGAGTTTAACATAATACGTCTGCTTTTAAGTGTAGGCAATCTAATTAATTTTAGCCTGCTAGCATAAGAAGGCAAACAAGAGCACTATTCCAATGTATACATCGTAAGGCAAATAGCAAAAATTGTTATTGCACGGATTCTATTTTATCTGTGTACATTGCATACTGAGGATCCTATACAACAGAACCGTATTCTAATATAGGTCTAACAAGAGACGTAAATAACTTTTTTGTTATATATGGATCGGAAAATTCTTTACCCAGCGTTTAACAAAACCTAAAACACCATTTGCTTTATTGACCATTGTTATTACATGGCTATTAAAATTTAATTTTTGATCCATCAAGAAGCCAAGATCGACAAATGCATCTACAGTTTATAAAGAATGGCCGTCAATATTATATTGCAATATCAGCGAAGATTTGGAGTATGTGCTTCTCCAGATCTTCTTCTCTGATATTGATATTGCTTACATTTGCTTGAATTTAAATCCATACAATTTAACTGGCACCATTGAAAAAGGCTATCTAAATCGTTTTGAAGTAATCTAGCTTGTTTATCACAATTATGGGAAATGTAAATTATTCATTTCATCATCATACATTAACAATTTCGAGTAATTTATGAAATTAGGTAAATCGTTGATAAATAAAAGAACGAAGCCGGTCCAAGGTGACTTCCTTGCGGAACACCCGATGGAACGTTAATCGTTTTGGATAGATACCCTTCAAACAAAACTAGTTGTGATCTGTCTTGTAGGTAAGATGATATCAATTTGACTAAGTTTGTGTTGAAATCCATATAATTTAATTTATATATTAGGAGTTCATGGTTAACCCTATCAAAAGCTTTACTAAAATTAATATAAATTGTATCAGTTTGTTTACGCTGAACAAATCCTTTTATTACTGTTGACGTAAATTGCATAAGATTTGTTGTAGTTGAAAGACCACTACGAAAACCATGCTGGTATGGACTCAATATAGATTGAATTTTCAGTGAAATTACTGCAGTAATTAATTTTTCGAACAATTTTGGAATGGCACTTAATTTTGCAACTCCTTTATAATTTGACACATTAGTAAGACTACCAGACTTATGTAAAGGTATAATATAAGATTTTTTCCAGAAAGTAGGAAATTGACCAAATTTAAGTGAATAATGAAATTACTGCAGTAATTAATTTTTCGAACAATTTTGGAATGGCACTTAATTTTGCAACTCCTTTATAATTTGACACATTAGTAAGACTACCAGACTTATGTAAAGGTATAATATAAGATTTTTTCCAGAAAGTAGGAAATTGACCAAATTTAAGTGAATAATTAAACAATATAGTTAACGGAAGTGCTAATGTTTCTGAACAATATATAAGAATTATATTAGGTATGTCCGGTCCTGGACATTTAATCGATTTTAAACTACGCAGACTATTGGACACCTCCTGACGTTGTAGAAAAGGCATATAAATTTGATCAGCCTGTGATAACTTATAAGGATACGAATCTTTAATTTGGCAAGATGTACTGGAATAGATTGTGGCAAGAAAATCTGCGAAACATTCAGCAATATCTGTGCCTGTGAAAAATTCTTTATTGTTATATTTCAATACTGAGGGCTTTGAGGAAACTTTTCGTTTTAGATTAACAAAATCATAAAAAGATTTGGGATTGGATTTAAAATTATTTTTAATCTTGTCGAGGTAAAGATTATACAATCTACGAGACTCTAAAGTATATTTAGATCTACCCGCTAGCAATGTGGACTAGTTCGGCACCGTATACTCGTCGATTCTTAGGATTACAGTAACTAGTTCCACTTAAGACCCCTCACAGTGCAAACAACTGTAAACTTTAACATGGGGATGTCATACGAGGTAACCAATTGACTCCTTTTGCATTACCTGTAGATGGTATTGTACTAGTTCCAGGTTTACAGTCATATACCAGAGACAAAAGACTAACCCCTAACTATTCAAAGTGATTCTTGTTCGTAGAGATCTCATTCAAATGTTCGTTTAACTTGTCTGTTGGTTGGTTTTTTATTTATGCACAACTGTCGCCTCTTCGTTTACTTGGGGACGAAAAGGTGTCAATTGGTTCCATTCGCATTACTTGGGGACACATTTGGTACTAGTACGGCTTATAACTAGTACAAGACTGACGAAATTTAGTTAATTGGAATTTTCATTGCTAGCGGGTAGCAACAGAGTAGTTAGTGTAGTCTATTGTTAAGCCTGATTTTTTATATTTACGAAAAAGCTTATTTTTAGAATTTTTTTAAACTTGATAACTCAGGGGTTATCCATTTCATCATTTTGGATAAGAATTGCAGAAAAATACTCAAAGAGCTGAGAAACTAAGCCGTCAAAGTGATGTAGTAGTGAAGAGCTCAATGCAAAGCAACAACGACGACCAAAGGCGAAACCACGCAAAGGCAGCTAAACTCAAAAGTTCGAGTGAGTTTAGTGAGAGTGTGTAACGTGCTCAAAGAGAGCAAAGGAGAAAGCATGAATCAAAGGAGATGCAAAGGTATACTCAAAAGTGTGAGTGAGTAGGACAACGATAGTACATCAAGGAGATTGAAAGCAAGACATAAAGAGGGGAACCCCGAAGAAGAAGTTTAAAAGGGAAAAGTCAACGTTGATATTTAGGGCGTGCGGCTTCTAAAAAAGAAAAGGAATAGTTCTAGATTTGCTGAAGTAACGAATTAAAAAGGAAAATACACATGGAAAAGTATGAAGGTGAAAATAAGTTCGTTAAAGGTTGCGGAGCTAGACAAATTATTACTGGCAAGAAGCTTACCACGAACAGGAAATAAATCCGAGAAAATTGCTAGACTCATGGCTTGCAATGGAAATGACGAAGTGGAAGTTGAAGATTCAGAGTCACAGGAGTATTTCCATGGATTTGATGAAGCTGAGACGGGTGATGATTCTCTAAAAAGTCAAATGCGAGAGCTAAAGGATATAATGTTGACTCTAGCAAGAAGTGTGCAACAGTTAACAACACTTTCAACAGAAAGGGCTATTACGTCAAATGCAGGGTAAATTCGAGGGATACAGAACAGCAAGTTCCAGCTGAAGTAATATCAAGACAATCTGGTTCCGGAACATCTGGTTGTTTAAAGGATTACATTGTAATGATACCAGACTTCGATCCAATTAAAGGAAATGTTACAGCAGTCCAATTCATTGACAAGGTTGAAACGTTGCAAAGGCTTCATGGATGGTCAGATGAAACAACTTTGTTTGCAGTTCATCATAAAATGAGTGGTGTTGCTAAAATGTGGATAGATGCTTTACCAGCGGTTGAAACATGGAAAGAGTTCAGACAACAATTTTTAAAGGATTTCCCAAGTCGAGTAAGTGTTGCTGACATTCATCGTGAACTTATAGCTAGGAAACGAAACTCGAATGAGTCTTTGGTGGAATATTATTACGCAATGTTGGCCATAGGGAAAAGGGGAAGCGTAGATGATTCATCAATACTGTCGTACATCATAAATGGTCTCAATGATAGCAGCTTAACAAGAACACTTTTAGCTATGAACCCGCAGACATGTAGTGAATTATTAAGGTCGTTGGAGAATTTGACCATACAAACGTATGCAAGGAAGCAAACAATGAATGACGAGGATGACAAAACCGCAAGTGTCTCAGGTGGAGCGCTACCCAAGGGAGTAAAATGTTTCAATTGTAATAGGTTTGGGCACATCTCAACTAGTTGCCCACAACCATTGAAGGAGCCGAAGTGTAGTAAATGTGCAAAGATTGGTCACGATGCATCGCAATGCAAAGGTAAAGGTACAACTGTGGCAGCAATGACAGAAGAGTCTAAGGATTACTGCCCACCGGTTATGAAAGATGTTACGGTCAATGGTAAGACACATGAAGGTTTTGTGGACACTGGAAGCGACTTTACCTTAATGCGGAAAGCTGTAGTTCCAGAGGGTTGCGATATGGAAGTAACGTCAAAAAGAATGAAAGGTTTGGTGGATCTATTGTTGAAGTGGTGGAAATGTTTGGGGCTAACGTTGTCATCGACGAGGAGAGTTTAATGACTACCATTTATGTAGTGCCGAATGACTTGATGCGGTATGACGTTCTCTTAGGAAGAGATGTATTGTGTAAGAAGCAAACAAAACTTACAATTGAGCATGGTGTCTTGAAAGTAAAGTCAACAATGCCAAGTACATTTAATGTCGGAGAAAGTCTGGATGAGCATCAAAAGGAAAAATTAGACCAAATACTGTCGTCATTCAAGGACTGTTTTGCTGAAACCCTTGAAGACCTTGGAAGGTGTAAAAATACACAAATGGAAATAAGTTTATCTACGGACAAGCCTGTAGTTGGTAAAAGATACCAAGTTCCATTTTCTCAAAGACAAATTCTGTCAGACATAATTGACAAGTTGCTTCGATGTTGTATTATTCGCCCAAGTGATTCGCCCTATGCAGCATCAGTATTGCTGGTCAAAAAGGCGAACGGTGAAAGTCGTATGTGTACGGATTATCGAGCATTAAATGAAGTCACCATCAAAAAGCAGTACTCGATGCCAGTGGTTGAAGAACAACTTTCGTTGTTATCTGGAAATAAGTATTTTACAACGTTAGACATGACATCAGGATATTACCAGATACACGTCAAGGAAGAATCCAAGATATTCACGGCGTTTATAACACCAGACGGTCTATATGAATATAATGTAATGCCTTTCGGATTAACAAATACACCGATGGTCTTCCAGGAAATGATAACCCAAATAATACGTAAGTTGAAACATCGGAGAAACATCATAAGTTATGTGGATGAGGTGATAATCCCGAGCTTGACGATTAGTGAAGGACTCTAAGTACTAGAAGAGTTCCTAACCGCCATAAGAGAAGAGGGGTTGACGCTAAGGCCAACTAAATGTTCGTTCCTTCAGGAAAGTGTAAGTTTCCTAGGTCATACAGTGAGTGCTAATGGTATACGCCCTGGAGAAGAGAAGACAAAATGCATTAAAGATTTCCCAAGACCCGAAAGCGTATCAGATGTGCGCAAGTTTATTGGCATCACTAACTTCTTCCGCAAGTTCGTGCCAAAGTATATCCAAATAGCCACGCCACTTACGAGACTAATGAAAAAGGATGCTGTATTTATCTGGAAAGAACCTGAGGAGAATTCTTTTATTAACCTGAAGACCAGAATTACAACACAACCAGTTTTGGCTCTGTTTGATCCAAATAAGGAACACGAAGTACACACGGATGCTTCTTCTATTAGTTTGTCTGGAGTATTGTTGCAGTATGAAGGTGAGGAACTGCGTCCAGTTTTCTACTACAGTCGTAGGTGTACTGAAAGTGAAGAAAAATATGCCAGTCATGAACTCGAGGTATTAGCAATTGTTGAGACGCTTGAAAGGTTTAGAATTTACCTACTCGGAAAGTGCTTCAATATTGTCACAGATTGCAATTCCATAGCAACAACAAAGGCGACGTCTCCATTACCCCCTCGTATAGCTAGATGGTGGTTTAAATTGCAGGAGTTTGATTTTACCATTACTCATCACTCAGGTGCCAAGATGACTCACGTGGATGGGATGAGCAGAAGTCCAACGTTACCATCTAGTCAATCCCGAACAGTAGCGGAAAAGGTTCTGGCACTCACAACGAACATTAACGACTGGGTCTATCAACTGCAAATGTCGGATAAGAAGCTGAAACACATCTTTGAAGTTCTCAATGGTAATTTACAAAACAAGGCAAATGAAATTAAGCAGATCAAAGCGGACTACGTCATAGAAAATGGGAGGCTATTTCGCAAAGTCAACAATATGAAACGTATGGTGATTCCAGAAAGAGTCCGGTGGCGAATAACTAAGGCTTGTCATGATGATTTGGGACACTTCGGTGAAGAGAAAACTCTCCAAAGGCTTCAACGTGATTTCTGGTTCCCGAGAATGAGACGTTATGTAAAATCATACATTCAGTCATGTCCGGAATGCTGCTACAACAAGGTAAAAGGAGGCAAGGCAGAGGGTGAACTACATATTGAGGAAGTCCTACCAATTCCATTCAGAAGTATCAACATCGACCACATGGGTCCCTTCCCAAAAAGTAAGAAAGGAAATCAATATGTATTCTTGATTGTCTGTTCGTTCAGTAAGTAAACCATTATAAAGCCAACCAGGAATACAAAGACTGCTCCGGTTATAACAGCGCTGCGAGAAGTTATGTCGATTTTCGGACAGCCACGAAGAATTGTATCGGATAAGGGAACGGCGTTCACGTCTAAAGAATTCCAACAGTTTGTGGAATACAACGGAATACAACATGTACAAACAGCAGTCCGAACACCAAGAGCCAATGGCCAAGCCAGCGGATCAACCAGACAGTTTTGAATGCGTTGAAATGTCTAGTAGGTGATACAAAAGAATGGGACACTGAGACAACGACGATACAGTGGAGTATTAACTCGCAGCTGAATGCGACTACAAAGTTCAGTCCAAATGACTTAATATTCAACTTTAGTCTCAGAGATGTCAGTTACAATAGAATTATCCATGCGGTTGGTGATGAAGAAAGAGAGAATTTCGATGTTAGGGTAATTCAACAGCAGGCTGTTGCTAACATCCAGAAGCAAAAGGAAAAATGGAAAGCAAGATTTGACAGCCGTCATTCCAAGCCAACTCAGTACAAGGAAGGCGATTTGGTGGTGATAAACACGGTACCGCAGCCTACAGGAGAATCACATAAGTTGGATGCGCGGTATAAAGGACCATACATCGTCACGAAAATTATCAGAAACGATCGTTATCTGGTAGAGGATCTGCCGGATTTAAGTTTGAAGCAAAGGAAATATTGCGGTGTTATGTCGACCGATCATATGAAGCCCTGGTGCTATGGTGATCCAAGTCTCGAAATCGAAGATAAAGATGAGTCTGATGATAGTTCGCCCAGGAGGGACGAAGAGTCAGGAGAGGCCGAATTGTCAACTATCAAAATGAGTTTATGAGTCAGTCGTCGTTGAGCACTGACCGAGAGCGGACGCATCTAAGGAGCGTAGAGCATATTACATTTTAAACTTTGTATTTATTCCCAGAATTACTTTTATTTTTAAATAAAAACCATGTTGACAATTTTAAATCTATTTAAAATATCATACAATTTATCAATAACATATTCTAAATCTTTATGGCTGTTACACAAGCACACAGAAGCCCAATTTACGGAGGAAATGAGGGTATTAAATTTTCGAAAATTAGTTTTTTTGTAATTAAGGACAGTTTTAAATGAGTCGGACTGACTTTCTTCAATTACATAACTGTGAGTCATGGATATATATACAGTTGGATGGTATATATCTTCAGGAGTGCGTATTGGAGGAATTCTGAATATATCAAAATGCTGTGTTATATTTACAAACGCCAAATCAAGAATTTTGCCGAGGGAATTTTTCACACTGTTTATTTGATAAAGATTTAAGTCATACAAACTATTTATAACTTCAAATGTATACTGGGTGGGTACTGTTCATTTCGGATGGCAAAGGAATCAAAGCTTCAGAATCTGGCATTGGAAGCCACATCATTTAGATCAATTAAATTAGTGGTATATTTGGTATCAACTGCAATAAGGACACCACCACCTTTTTTACAAACACGATATTTTCTAAATATTTCATATTTTGAACATAAAATTTCACTATTTAATATAGATATTTTAACTAAGTTTCGGAGGAAACCAATACATTATAATTGAAACCAATGCTATCAGTATATAAACTGGTTAATTTTTTATTAAGCCCCCTTATATTCTGATAGCAAAAAGAAAATGAGTCATTTAGTTTTTTTGGCACCGAATCTGGTCTAAGAGGCAAATGAGCTAAATTATCGGATCTCTCCAGAAATTCTTTAATAAATGCCCTAGCAAGCCAAAATTCTTTTAAAATCAACTGTACAAAAATATTTTCAGGCACAACGATTTTGAAAGAAGATCTACTTACAGAAAATGCAGATCGGAGCTTATAACATCTCAAAAAGTAATCTCTCACAATTTTTGATTTTATATAATAGCTTATGTCAACGGCCGTTGTTTCTGGTGCAAACCTTCTTGCAAATATCATTTTCATGGCGGGAGCCATAGATAATGATCTTTGGACAGGTTGAGTTTTGCCAGTAGCAGCCTCGGGACGATCACTAGTGATAAGTGAAAGAAGTGATAATTTCTGTGTGTCACGAGTAGATTGTGAGGTTTTCTTAGAAACCTCACTATCAATACTCATAACATCAGGATTATTTACCCCTTTACCTATACCGCTGTTATCTACCGGAACTGGGTGTGAGGAGGGTTGTATCAGTGATATTAACTGAAACCGGTTGTGGAACAGTGTTTTCCACAGAAACTATTGCTTTGCGACTAGTTGGTGCCTTTTTCGCAGCCCTTTTGCGTTTCTGGCCAGAAACTGACGGTGACGACACAAACTAATCTAATTCTTGGTATTTCTCAAACAATGTAGAGAAATTCTCAAATCGGAGTGATAATGAGGAGAAAATCTTTTTTTATAGATGTCAATTCCGACTGCAAATTCTTTACAAAATTATAAAAGTCTGCAGAGAGTTTCCTACATTGCACACAACACCAACGAACACCAACATTATTTCTAATTGTGTCTACGACTTTTGCATTAATCCTAGCACATTTTGCATGCCATTGATTAAGACACAACCAACAGGTAACACACAATTCATCCTCTACAACAATATTACACAATTCAAAAGGGCACGACATTTTATTTATTTTTATTTTAACTATTTCTTTTTTAATACACAGGTTACAGCTATATTCAAAGACCTAAAATGGTAAAGACTAGACAAAATGCATTCTGAGCAGATGGTTTGTGTCTATACTATATATAACAGCTCGTCGCAGAGACACGTTAATATAAAAACCACAATTAAAGAAACGGATAAGAAATACAAATTTGAAAATTCCAAAATTTTACTTATAAAATTCTATTACATAGACCTTTCCGAAAATTTGCATATTGCCTTAGCGGTTTAAATCAGTTAACATTGGTAACTATGTTGTTATGTTATCGTAACAACAGAGGTATTTTCACAGGGTCACCATAATTTGACTCTGTCTTGTCCTATCTTTACACTTCTATGTCTTTGCTATATTTCTCAAGATTAGTTCTGTAGTTGGAATTTTTTTATTTATTTTATTTTTTAAATGTTGGCAACTCTTATGAGATGACAAACAAAACAAGGCGATATGTTACAACAACTAATTAGCTAATATAACAAAAGAAAGAGAATAAAAGGAGAATGTAAAACTACACAATTTGAAAATTGATATTACTTTAAAACACAAAACAAGATTTAAAAACACTACAAAAATTATCACTTTGAGTTACAAAATCAATATTGAACACTTATGGTGGCACACCGCCCTCCGGCCAAGTTTGAAACGTTGGATACTAAACTACATGTGTGAATGCCAGTCATACATTGAATTCAGAAACAACAAGTCAAGCATCCGTTGAGTTAAACAGGGAGTTCCCCGGAACTGTTTAACCTCTACCACGCCCTCCAGACGGCATAGAGATTATAACGTAAGCAGATGATTGTACGCTCGTGGCGTCCATTTTGACATTTGCGATAGGTTAAACGTCTACCTTGTTGATATTACCGCCTT